CCTGTGAGTTTCCATCACAGTGGTGGTGATAGCTGTCACTACCAAGTATTTGAGTATTTTTATAGTCCTTGTTTGACACAAGTCTAGGACAAAGCGTATCTCAAATAGCTTGTAATCTGATCAGAATAATGATGATGTAGTAATAATAAACTGTATAATCATTGAGCAATAGAAGATAGTATATACTTAAATGTTAAACTATGTGGCACCAACTAAATGATATAAATGCTCAAATGTCAGTGATGTGGAAGTAGTCAGTGAAGATACTGTGGAGAAGTAGAGAGACTTAAATTAGTGCTTGCAGGGTGGACGAAATCTGAATAATCAGAGAAAGAAGAGCAGCCCAGGTTAGTGTAAAAATGTAGCATATGTCCTTTTTGATAGTGAAGAAATTGGCAATGAGTTCATGACTGGTCAGGAATGGGAATGAATTTTTAAAGAACAACATATCACATAATTTAATGTGGCTTACAATAATACATAATGGAAAAATCTAAATAAGTAAAATAATAAATAAAAATAAAAATGTTCTAATAAAATTAGAATAAGAAAACTGTACATTTCCATAGTAGGAATAATAGATTGCAGATATATAGTCTATAAGGTCCTATATAGTACTAAATAACATTGGTTGAGGCAAAAGCCAAAAAAAGTGGGGGTATACTTTGTTACAGGATGTCTTCCCCCATAACTAGAAGCTAAACTATTTTCTTTCTAAGTGGAATATTATTCTTTAAAAGATAATATGTTTGCTTAGAACTTCATTACATAGGGCATAGAGAAATACAGTAGAAAACGTTGTCAATATCAAATACAGTATTAGATTTTACAGCACTGTTTCTTAATGTGATTCTGGATAAAAGCTAAGGAAATGGCACCAAATTACAGCTCAGTTAAAACAAACAGTTAATACCATCTGTGGACATAAATTATATGTACATACTTTTCTGATGATCCCTCTTAATATGAGGATAAACTCTAGAATGCAGAAGAATGGAAGGGGTACCTGTCATGTCAAGAAGCCTTACAAAAAATTAGGTCCAACAGGTTATATATTCTGGCTAGTTCTGAAATGTTTAGGTTCTCAATGTTTATGATTAAGGGAAGTCAGGAGGAAACTTGCATATTAAGTTTGAAGTGGTTTTGCATAACTTAACAGGCTAACCAAAACCTTTTTCATCAGGGTAGTAATCTTCTGTCATGAAAGTGTGCTTGAAGGAGTATCAGCTCTGATTCCCTGTAGCTTGTGACAATGATTGATCAAAATTCTTACATTGTTTAGTATGGAAGAGATTATTTTAGCTTGGAAAAAGCTTAAAGGTAGGTCTCTTCTCTAAGAGAGAAGTGTCACCCCTGGAAATGTAGAAAACTATGGTACATCTGGTATTCCAGAAGGTAGCTTAGCAAAACTTCCCAGGTGAATTTATTATGAATTGTACCCTTAAATTTAGTAATTAACTTCCTTCTGAAATTTTTTTATTAATCTACAATTACATGAAGAACATTATGTGTACTAGGCTTTCCCCTTCACCAAGTCCCCCCAACATACCCCTTCACAGTAATTGTCCATCAGCGTAGTACGATGCTATAAAATCACTACTTGTCTTCTCTGTGTTGCACAGCCCTCCCTGTGCCTCCCCCCCACTATACATGCTAATAGTAATGCCCCCTTTCTTTTTCCCCGCCCTTATCCCTCCCTTCCCACCCATCCTCCTCAGTCCCTTTCCCTTTGGTAACTGTTAGTCCATTCTTGGGTTCTGTGATTCTGCTGCTGTTTTGTTCCTTCAGTTTTCCTTTGTTCTTATACTCCACATATGAGTGAAATCATTTGGTACTTGTCTTTCTCCACCTGGCTTATTTCACTGAGCATAATACCCTCTAGCTCCATCCATGTTGTTGCAAATGGTAGGATTTGTTTTCTTCTTATGGCTGAATAATATTCCATTGTGTATATGTACCACATCTTCTTTATCCATTCATCTACTGATGGACATTTAGGTTGCTTCCAT